AAAAAAAAAAAAAAAGAAAAAGGGGAGGGGGAAGAAATATGAAATACTTCATGGCCCATTAGAGCAAAGTTTCTTGTATGTTTTGGTCATAGTGGCATCCCCAGTGCCTAAAACACTGCCTGGCACACTGTAGGCATTCAGTGAGTGTGGAGTGAGTAAATGAATGGGTACACCTGCCATGGCACTCTTTCTGGAGAATTGCAGGTGCCAGTCTGGTCTTGTGAGATCAGTGCAGACTACATTGCCCATGAGGGGATGAGGATGCTCTTTCCTCCAGTTTGACTGCCAAAGTTAATGCTGCATGTGTTTTGTGGTTCTCAGTAGTTGCCAGGGAACCAAGGAAGTGAAAGGAAGGGGTTGAAAACAGCCTCATTGCTCTTCCCTGGGCAGCTGTGCCTTGATGTCCAACCTCGTTTGTCTGGCAGTTTGACCTGGTTGTTGGCAGCAAGGCCTGGGATAGACCGTGTCTCGGTGTCTTGAGAATACGTGTGTGCCGAAGAATGGCTTCCCAGTCCCCAAACACCTGCAGGAGCAGGAGCTACTTTGTTTACACATCAGCTGCCTTTTCCTCTAGCAATGAGGTTGTGATCCATTCTTTTTGTGAGTCTCAAGGAAATGGCTCAGCCAGCTTGGCACATTCATTTTCTTGTCAGGAAAGTCGATGTGACCTTGACCGTCAGTGGGGACCTGCAGTAAACACGTTGTGTGTCTGGCTGGATTCTAATGATCAAACAGTACTTTTGGCACCTCGCTGTGCTGTACGTGTCATGCGCTGCTAATTTATTGTCCTAGGTGGGGGTTATAGATACTAATTTGCAGGAATAATTTCTGACCTACATGGGCCATGCCCAGCACAGTGCCACTACCATGGAAGCCTTGGATAAGTACCATGAAAGAAAACTGTTGCAGAAAATGAAAGGAAAGATGAAATATACTTGCTTTGAGTCCTGGACAGTATAATTAATTTGTAGCCGAGGAAGTTATTGAAAAGTAACTTTGTATAATCTAGCACTTTAGGGGGCTGAAGTGGGCAGATCACTTGAGCCTAGGAGTTCAAGACCAGCCTGGACAACATGGCGAAACCCCATCTCCACACAAAAAAACAAAAATTAGCTGCATGTGGTGGCCCGTGCCTATGGTCCCAGCTCCTTGGGAGACTGAGGTAGGAGGATCATTTGAGCCCAGAAGGTAGAGGTTGCAGTGAGCCAAGATCATCACACCACTGTACTTCAGTCTGGGTGACAGAGTAAGACCATGTCTAAAAAAAAAAAAAGGAAAAGTAACTTTGGATTTATAAAGCTCCTCTGAACATTGTTCTCCTCGAGTCATTTCTGGAAATCCAAACCCAAATGGGACCTTTTGTCCTGTGTGAGTGTTGTCTTTGGTAGAGGATTCAGGCCCAGGGAGAGCTGCTGTGACCTGCTGTTTCAGGAAGGGTAGCCAGAAGGGATTTGGCTTACACCACTGACTAGGAAAAGTCAGAGCAGGACACCATCCCCACGGCTCTTGCGTCTGGTGCAAAACTTGCTGTTGGAGAACGCTTTTCTCCCTGAGCTGAACTTAGTGAAGAAAGCAAGACACACCTAAGGCGGTGAACTTTTCCGAACCAAGAGTTGGTTTAAATATAGATGATCTGCCTCTCTGGCAACTTGGAGGCTGCGGGGGGACTTGTTGTACCTTTTATAAGGCAAGTGAGGAAAGATGTTGGCACCTGTACTTGCGCAGTTTGTTTATGAAATATAAACTCTCCTGTGGAAGCGAGGGCTCAAAAAGGTCAGTGTCCAAGGTAACGTGTGTCCTACCTTAGCTGGGGAAAAGGTGCCTCCCCAAGCCCTCCCTGCGAATTGCCTCATTCCCTAGAGAAAGTTGGGACAGCCAGGCTTAATGTCCTGTTATTTACTGAGCACCGACTCTGGCAGGGGTGGGGGTGGAAAAGTTTCTGTGAAACTGACAGACATTAGACTTGATTTTCTTTCCCAGGGAGGAGAAACAATAGTCTAGGAGCTATAGAGTCCATCCTTATTCAGACCAGTGGAGCTCTTTTCAGCTTTAGAGACTTGATTTATGTACCCCGGAGCTGCTTAGAGCCAAGGGGTTGCAGCAGCCTGCTCCCATCTGCAGCTCCCACTGTCTTCCCACAGTGGGCTCTGGCTCTAGGTGGGTCCAGGGCTGGGCATCGTGGGTCGGCAGCACATCCTCCTCAGTATTCCAGCGCAGCTGTCTGAAGTTTTTCTGCTGCGCCTGAACTGATGTCATTTCCCCCTTGGCAGACAGCTTCGGCTTAGCTGCGTCTGAGATATGTCACGAGAAGGTGGGGGTGGGCCAGAGCCAGGCGGGGGGAGTAGCAAGGAGAGCAGGAGGCAGTGTGCCTGCTTGGTCCCAGGACTCTGTTTACTTTGTCTGCTTTGCTAAGGAAGGCCAGTGAACCAGGACCGCCGCGCACACAGGCCCACCAGGGGCAATGCTCATTCCAAGACCTTAACTTTTAAGAGCCTTTTGTTCCAACGTTAGTGTGGACGATGCTCTTGCAGGATGCCTTTCCTTTTGGGTCTTAGACAGGTAATTGGTTCTGCACGGATCGGGTTCGGAAGGGAAGAAGGGGTGGGAGCTTGTTTATTGTACTACTGCTTTGGGTGGAGGGAATATTTTAGCAAATGCCTCTCGGTTATACCAGGCCAGCTCCCACACAGAACTTTCCAGTCTCCCTTCTTGTTTGCTAGTTGCTCCTTACTTTCAGAGCCACCGTGTTCTTAACCCTCTACATCCCCGAGGTTTCTCTAGGGCTGTCCAGTTCTGATTTGCCATCAGACCCTGTAAAACTGCTTTGGAAACTTCACGGAGGAGCAGCTGGAGAGTGGGGCTGGGGCAGGGGAGAGGCCAAATGCCATGCTTCCTGCAAACCCCTTTTATTCCTTCTCCATTTTGATTTGGCTAGTCAGGGGAGATTTCCTCATAGCCCTCTGGTTCTGAAGGAACTCTGATTTGGGGGTGGGATGAGGGCTCTGTACTTCTTTTAAAGGAAAGGCTTTCTTCCTTTCAAGCATGTGGCTGGGGCTGTGCGGCTCAGGGACATCCCAGACACCTCAGGGGAAGGGGTGTGGAGTTGACCCCATTTTGGCCTTACCGATTTTTCAAGGCAAACAGACCCCTGCGGCAAAGACTTGATTGCTCGGGTGAGCCACCCTTTGAAGTGGGGGCACTGCATTCATTCTAGCCGGTAAAGCAGTGAGGAGTGAGAGAACAGTAGCAAGCCAACTGCTGTCTGCTGAGAACACAGCTGTTGCCAACTATGTGTTCCAGGGCTTCTGCGAGTCGGACACCCCCACCCTCTCTTCGTCTGAGAGGCATGTCTATATCGGAATGTGTAACTGTAACCAGCAGCTGCTGGCTGTAAGGGGTGGGGACAGAGCACACACCCTCTGCTGCCTGTTCCTGGGTGAGGAAAACCACAGATGAGTTCACAGCAGAAGCCCTAGAGGGGAGCCGCTAGGGACTGGTTGCCTCACTCTGAGAAAAGTGCTAGGTGGGCAACTCTCCCTTGAGTTGCCTACAGTTCTGTTCAAAGGAAGCTCCTTTGAAAAGCCCCAAACTTAATCAGCTCTTGTTATCTTCAGAGTTTGCGTTGATGCAGCTGATGGGCAGAGTGGTGTCCACTTGGAGCACCCCTTCTGCCCCCACAAGAAAGGCTGTCCTTTTTTTTTTTTTTTGAGATGGAGTCATATTCTATTTCCCAGGCTGGAGTGCAGTGCCATTATCTCAGCTCACTGCAACTTCTGCCTACTGGGTTCAAGCGATTCTCCTGCCTCAGCCTCCCAAGTAGCTGGGATTACAGGCATGTGCCACTATGCCTGGCTAAGTTTTATATTTTTAGTAGAGATGGAGTTTCACTATGTTGGCCTGTCTGGTTTCGAACTCCTTACTTAAGGTGATCTGGCTGCCTTGACCTCCCAAAGTGCTAGGATTACAGGCGTGAGCCACTACACCTGGTCAGAAAGGCTGTCCTTAAACCTGTGGGCAGAGAATTTTGAGCAGTGTTAGAAACAGGATGAAGCTGGGTGAAGCATCTCATGCTGTGTCAGCAGGCTGGGAGGGCGAAAACTGCCTAACAGAGTGGAGAGAGTGGGCTGGGAGCCAGAAAGACCTGCATTCGCATCCCAGCCTCCCTGGGGTCTTGGGCAGGCTCTTAGCCGCTCTGAACCTCATCTCTGAGGTTGCACAGAGATTCCACCAAAGAATGTATGTGAAACGTTAGCACCTTGGCTGGTAGAGAGTAGACATAACTCTTACTTTGATCCACTCATTCCCAAAGGATGCAACACTGTAGGGGTACAGGAAGCGAGAAGCGAAGGGACTGATGCCTTGACAGGAGCCAGGTGTGCCAGGCAGGTGCCCACAGCCAGGCGAGTGAGCTCTCGATCTGTGGTCAGTGACCATTGTGCAGTGACATAGAGCTGGAAGGCCACCTCTTGCTCTACCAAGATACTGTTTTGGTTTTTTTTTGAGATGGAGTTTCACTCTTGTTACCCAGGCTGGAGTGCAATGGTGCAATCTCAGCTCACCACAACCTCTGCCTCCAGGTTCAAGCAATTCTCCTGCCTCAGCTTCCCGAGTAGCTGGGATTACAGGCATGCACCCCTACACCGGCTAATTTTGTATTTTTAGTAGAGGCAGGGTTTCTCCATGTTTGTCAGGCTGGGCTTGAACTCCCGACCTCAGGTGATCTGCCCACTTTGGCCTCCAAAAATGCTGGGATTACAGGCAAGATCCACCGTGCCCAGCAAGATACTGTTAATCTTATATACTGAGGTGGCAAGAGGGCGAGGGCCTGTGTCCAGTTACTTGGACATGTAGTGAGAGAATGAAGCAGTGGGTAGCATTAAATTAAACTCTTCAAGGGGAGTGAAGGGTTGAGATGGTTGTTGTGGGGAGCCTCTGAGAGGATCAACAGCAGGTGAACCTTTAGCTCCTGCGTCTGAACAGATGCCTGGGGGAAGGCAGAATTGAGAAGCCTTCTGAAGGCTCTTCCTGCCCTAAGCTTCTGTGACTAAAACTCTTGCCTGTACAATCTTGGGGTAGTTTTGGTTATATAATTTTGTATATTTCTAGTATTTTGGTTCAGACAGTGTAACTACATTCTTTATTGGAGCCATGTAGAAGCCAGCCTTCTAAGGATCACTTGGTGTAATTCTGTTTAAGAAAAAATGACACATAACGCTCATGTGCACGCACACATATAAAATTGATCTTTATCATACATATGTATATACTTTGGTTTATTTTTTTCCCCTTAATCCATATGATAACCCTGTGTCTTATGTGGTAGTGTTATTCTGTTTGTACAGAGGTGCATGCTGAGGTTTAGAGAAGTTAAGCCATTTGCACAGCGTTGTTCATTGTCTAAAGAAAGGGTAATTGAAGATTTTTTTTTTAACTAGAGTCCTTCCCAAATCCTGGATTTTTCTCACTACCTAGACTGTGGGGCTTGATGTCTGAGAGTAGAGTATGATTAAGGCATTGTTCTCCTTGGGCATGTTTCTTTCTAGCCTGCCCAGGTAGGAGAGAACATGCTGCTCACCTCTTCGTATGCTCACTTGCATTTTACTCTGTGGAAGACTTTGACCACTTAATGAATGTGGCCTGGCATAAAGGACACAAATATACACAATCCCTATCTCCAGGGGGCTTATGCACCTAAAGGAATTGTTCTCAAAACCATAAAAATCACCTGGAAGTGGGGCTTATTAAAATGCAGATTTTGGCTGGGCACAGGTGGCTCATGCCTGTAATCCCAGCACTTTAGGAGACCAAGGTGGGCAGATCACCTGAGGTCTGGAGTGCGAGACCAGCCTGGCCAACATAGTAAAACCCCGACTCTACAAAATTAGCCGGGCATGGTGGCGGGTGCCTGTAATCCCAGCTATTTGGGAGGCTGAGGCAGGAGAATTGCTTAAACCCAGGAGGTGGAGGTTGCAGTGAGCCAAGATCGTGCCATCAAGACTGTCTGAAAGAAAAAAAAGTAGACTGTTTAGGTCTGGGGCCCGGGCCCAGGAATATGCATTTCTGTGACGTTCCCCAGGTGTTTCTGGCCCAGGTTGTCTCTGGCCGCACTTTGAGAGACTGTCCTCTAGAGTTCGGCGTGGAATAATTACAAGCCAGCGTGCTGAGACTGCAACAGAGGAACGCCCAGGAACTGGGAGAGCAGAGTGTGGGGGCAGGTACCTGAATCAGGCTAGGGGAAGCTTTCCTGAGAAACTGATATCTGATCTGACTCTTGAAGGGTGAGTAGGAGAGTTTACCAGACATATGAGCTGGGGAAGAGCATTCTGGACAGATCAGGTTGGGAGAGTTGTTTTTGTTTTCTCCTGCAGATGACAAGGGAAACTGTCATTCACCTGTTGAGTCTTGGTATTGAATTTGCCTGAGGCAAGACAAGGACCTTAGCTGACCAGGTATGGGTGTCTTTTATGGATACTGAGAAGGAGGAAGCCCTCAGGGCCTTTCCGTTTAATAATGAGCATGGCATGATTTCAGTGTCTGTAAAGGGCAGACAAACTGTAGGATGTATTAGTTCTTTCATGCAAGGGATGGTTAGACAGCTCACAGAAGCTACAATGTTGACTAAAAAATGCTCTTTTTGTGCTCAGATGAACCAAAGCTCAGAAGATAGTCACCTGCTAAACTTTTTGGGTAAGGCACTATATACCAAATTTAAGATAAAATACGCAATTAGGCATGCTATCCCTTTATTATCTGACAAGATCAGAAAATAGATTTTCTGGTTAAAAGATTCCAGTATGTGTACCTAACAAAGGGATTACTGATTTTCAGAGAACAGTATTGCAACAGAATGTTCTTAGTCATGATTTGAATGAATTCTATTTCACGTGCATCCAGAAGGCATTGATTGGGTAATGCTGAAGGATTCTTAGGAGCAACACTCAGCATCTGAAAAGTACTGTGCACCTATTCTACCCAAAGCATGTTGTGAATACAAAGGGTATAAACTCCATTCCTGCCCTTAAGGGGTTTACAGTCAGGTAGGGAAAGTAGAATAAGTACACAGGTAATGAGGACATTCTGCAGGTGGTGGCAAATGACATTAGAAAAGAACAGAATGCTGCAGTTCAGAGGTGTGAAGAGACAACCCTTGTGCAGGTGGCCCTTCCCACAGTCCAGTAGTATCAGTTGTTGCACTGTAGGTGTTAGGTGTGTAGAAGGTAAGTTCTAGGCCGGGCGCGGTGGCTCAAGCCTGTAATCCCAGCACTTTGGGAGGCCCAGGCGGGTGGATCACGAGGTCAAGAGATCGAGACCATCCTGGTCAACATGACGAAACCCCGTCTCTACTAAAAATACAAAAACATTAGCTGGGCATGGTGGTGCGTGCCTGTAATCCCAGCTACTCAGGAGGCTGAGGCAGGAGAATTGCCTGAACCCAGGAGGCGGAGGTTGCGGTGAGCCG